TATAATGCCTCTTGAATTAGTGTAATCTTCGCTTGCAAATTTAAAAAAAGATACTGTAATTGTCTCCATAAAATAGCAGTTAACAGCCTCTTTTAATTAAAAGGACTGTTCGTGAATGGTCCTTGCAACGTAACTTAATAGTAAATTGCTTTATTTCTAGCTAAGAGGGTAATGTATAAATTAATATTATAATTACGGTAATACAACGATGGTTCTTGTCTTAGTGAAATAAACATTAAATAGCTTATGGGTAAAAATCAATCATTAAAAACAATCATCATTATCATATCAGCCTTTAACTGTCCACTGCTGAACGTAGGTCTCCCCTTTGGAGGGTTTTGCCAGTAGTTGCCACGCTTGGCAGGCAGATTGGCGGTCGCTAATGCGTCGCGCAGTTAGGTTTTGGAGATGCTTTACGTGGGACACTCCTGACCATTCCTCGCCTTACTTTAATCACCTCTTACGACACCCTCGGGAAAGGAAGGGTAAGCCTATTTTAATGCCAGGAACACACGGTCAATTAATTTCAATACTTATAATTAAATCAATACCTATTATAAATTATTTTCATAACATAATTTATTTTTAAATAAAAAGAAAACATAATGAAATTATTTATTTTTTATTTACAAAAAATATTTAGTATAAAACGCGACCTTAATATTACACAGTATATTTTTATTACTTCTATTCGTATGAAAAAGACATATATTACCCATTAAGTACTTATGCAGGAGACTATAAATTAAGATCCATAAAATGTTCTAACTAAACCGTTTTGACAAGATAGATGGTACTGTTTTTTTAACAGTAAACGTAACAGATCCCCTTTACTGCAGGGACGATCTATTTCGTTTAATATATAGTTGCTTCTATGCACGACACCGCAGGAAATATATTGCATGAACGCTCACTCGTTGATTATTATCGACCAAAGAGGCAAGAAGATACTATAAAATAGTATCTACTATTGTACGAATATGTATCGATACATTCAGAATTCTGGAATTTAGGTACACAGGAAATATTTTGATATTGAATTTAACGATCTACAGCACATACCAGATTTATCTCAGGTAAGAATTGTTTTATGATTATCCTTTAAGTCGAGACGTGTAACATCAAATTACTGCGGGTTCTCGTGAATACTGTAATCCACATATTAGATGAAATATGTGAGCACAGTGTGCGTTAAAATAAGATACCTATAGTATTCTTATTTATATTATATTCTTATTTATCGTCGCCTATAGACATGAGCAGTATATAAACGATATTTAAGTAAAAAAAATTTAAGGGTCTTAATAAGAGAAATAGAAACGCAAAGAATATTTTTTTTTATTTTGTCTGTCTGTATATATGTTTGTTGCCGCATCATAAATAAACTACTGCATAAAATTAGATGCCAATTTCATAGTCGTATTTTTGATGAATTGGTTCTATTTCGACTATAAGTTGATTAGATAGAATCATGATTGTCTTAAATGAATTAAAATCACTTAAGTACTTGCTGTGTATTTTAATGTCGGGTAAAATAATAAGATTGGGAATAACAACATATAAGGTCAAAGACTAGAAGCATGGGGGGAACTATTCGTATATGTATTACAGTGTAAGGAGTCATAGTTTTACTACACTAGTCTTGTACTGCTAATATAATTAACTCAAGCACTTTTACGTATACATACAGTGAACGCAATGTTTAAAATAAAGGAATCGGAGAAAATATTTTTACCTGTTGCTGCGAATGTAATTTAGTCGATCTCCAAGCTATAGTAAGTAAGTGGAGTGTACAAAAATAAGAAGTGGGAAGAAAATATATTTATCCATCCATTATACCAGGTATATTTACCAAAAAGTGACTTTGTTACGAAAATTGTCTGTGCGTATACCTCTGTCCTACTCGTGTTTCTGCCGTGAAGTAGTTGCACTTACATAGCTGTGTTTTGGTTTGAGAGGTAGGATATGGAAGTAAATTACAGGGTATGAAGAAATAACATCTTGGTCCTCAGGAATGGCAACGTGCGAGGTATATTATAGGCATAATATTGTATTCTCTAATATCCATGATGATGTCCATGTCTATAGGTGACAGTTACGACGTTTTATTTCAAATGTCTCGAGTCTAGATTTGAATTAGTATTTAAAACGCTGAAAAAATCAAGTGAGTCCTCCGAGGTGTCTAAATATCGTAACAAAACCCTAATAATAAAGCTTCACTACACAGTTTACTTTTTAATTGTAATTTAGATGAAATAATAAGAATATTTCATCTTATTGGTAGCAGGATGAGCAGTAGTGTCTCTTTTAAAATATTACTAAAAGCTTAACTGCGGTAACCAACCTACCTGCCAAGCATAACAACTACCGGCAAAACTACCTTTATGGCTTATGTTCAGCAGTGAACATTTAACAGATATGATGAATGTAAATATTTATTTTAACAATTAATATTACTAAGACAACAAATAAAGGTGTTTAACAGTAATAAACTAAAAGCAATGTTCCTCTTAGTTATAAGAACGTGCTGGGCATTTGCTAAGTTTTAAGTGCCTACTGTTGTTAACGGCCGTGCAATTGGTGCACGTGACTCGTTAGCTTGTTGTGCTACTGATTTTATTAGTGTCTGTAGTTTTTATCAGAATTCAAACTTACTCGATGAAGAAGATGAAGTAATTACAATTCAACGAATAAACAAAAATCACAAGTAAACAAAATTTTAGTTATGTCTCAGCGTTGGGAGTGCGTTGCATTGATTGGCCGGCATGATCCTTATCTATTCCAAAAATTATATAATTTATAAATATTACTCTGCGAGTCATAATCCTATTACCTATTAATGAAATAAGTACGAAACTTTGTGAGGATGGATGTCTATTAATCTTTCATGCAAAAACACTAAAGGGATTTGAATGAAAATTGGTAAACGGATAAGTTATATCTATAGCACGCATTATACTTTATGTACTAATTTGTTTGGGCAAAACCATAGGATATAACTGATAAGAAATAAAGCTCAGCGATCACGTGTAATAAATATTGTAGATAATTAGAGCAATACCAGTCAAGTATTGTTATTAATGGCATACGAAATAATGTATCTTAATAAAATGATATAATAATGATCCCGTCACGCGACACTACCACGTGATGGTCAGATTAGATGCTCGAACCAACTCCACCATTTCAAGGTTAACACGTGAGTAAAATCGGTTTAAATAATTAATTATACCTAATTCGTATAATATATAAAAGATAATATCATTAATAATCATACAAAATAATTAAATTTCAATGGGCATTAGTCTAAGAGGTAGATTTTATAAATTTATCAGATATTTTTATTTTTAACAGCAGGTAATATTATTTGCCAGGCACAGCGTGTACTGATAGTGCAGGCGGGGTTAGCATTTCATTATTACCCATTAAAAATACTATTTACCTATAATATATGCAAGATAATAGCGCCTGAATTATGTAGCTCAATATCTGATTATATGTTTCACGGTCATAATCTCCACAGTTTTTTAGTGTTTCCAACTAAATTTACCTTAATATAATTATATATGTTTTATAAATAAAAGACATATTGACAGTTAGAAATAGAAGTATTTATTTTTCATTGAAATCAAAACTATTATAAGTAATATTTAAACACGTAGCTTACATATGTAAACACGTTGTTAATTATTATCTATTATTATAATTAAGAAACAAGTTACTTTGCACATAAAACAGAAAATATTTGCAACTTTTTTTTTTATTTTATTATCAATAAAAATAAGAAGTTATAGAAATTATGTTACATTAGCATTCAGAAACCACGTAGGTTTATATTAATACTAAATACATTCAAATTATTTAAATTGTATTAAAACCATGCAAGAAGTATCGTTTTAATTTATACTTGATGTTGCTAATAGTAATTAAAAAGGTATAGACAATAAATATAAAACCACCCATAGTAACAGACATTGTCTATTGTTATTTGTGTACTGTAAGTGATGCAAATAAAATATAATCTATGTATTTATTTTCTACGCTTTTAATTCTGTTTATCGTTTATCTATTTGTAGTAGATATACGGGCCTGAAGGATGGATAAAATTACCTGAAAAGATCTAATTAGTAATTAGAAGGTCCTACTTAAGGTCAAGGAAAAGAGACGAGTTATAAAAACTATTTAGGTTAGAAAGGAAACAATGATGGGACGCTTGATACGTCACGATGAACTTATAAACATTATAATAGAAGGTAATATAGAAGGAAGGAGGGGATAGGGGAGACCAAGGCATAGTTACATCAGACAGATCAAGGAAAATATTGGTGTCGTGTGGTATCAAGAGGTGAAGAGACTTGCTGACCCTCTTCGCGCTTCACTCTTTACTCTAGTGAGTGGCAAGTGCTCCACCGGTAAAAAATGAAAAAGTATTGGCCTGAAGATAAAAAGTATGTAATTAAACTTAACATAATTGCTAGATAGTCAGTTTATTCCAGTTTATCCAAGAATCACCTAAAAGCTACTCAATGAATATTGTTAAAACTTGTCAGATATGTTCACCTATTTATACTTCACATGTAGACTATGTGAAAATTATACTCAAAACGTAAAAGTCAAAGTTTAACATATGAATTTATATTAATATTTAGTTATGCCAAAAAAAATATTTGAATAAAATTTTTCATAGGACAATGTATTGAATAAACTATTTGCCTTGATATTAAAATTATATTTATCGATACAAAACGTACATATTCTTTTGAAACGAATCTTTTGTAACTTTGTATCAAATTGGTTTCGGTTTTACAAAGCCTAATTAACTCATATTTGATTTATAAAACCAATATTCGATACAAAAATATATGATATTGTAGTATTCAATAAACAAAATGCGAGCCGAAACATATGAGTTTTATAGTTAGGGCTGAGTTGATAAGATTTATTTGATACCTAATTAAAAGCGACAGCCTTATCTTTTATGACAAAACAAAATGATAATTAGTTGTTAAAATGTTATAAATGAATACAGTATTCTCGTGTGCTATATAATTTATTCGGCATTTATTATTTTATTTATTCATTAAAAAATATCTACTAACAATATGATTTACTTAATAGTAATACTGATATTACTTGTTGTGTTGTACTTATACAATGTAAGAAATTTTGATTATTGGGAAAAAAGAGGTGTAGTATACGTGAAACCAATCATTTTGTTTGGAACTGCCATTAAAATCTATTTATCATTAGATAGTGCTACAAATTGTGTGGACAGAGGATATAATGAGTACCCCAAAGAAAAAGTTATTGGAACTTTTCGTTCAACAACTCCATCACTGCTAATCAGAGATCCAGCTTTAGTGAAGCAAATTATCATTTCTGACTTCGTTTATTTCCATGAACGTGGAATTGTACCAGGTAAATCACTAGAACCCATGTTTAGGAATTTATTCTTTGGAGAAGGTGATTTGTGGCGGTTACTGAGACAACGACTAACACCAGCCTTCACTAGCAGTAAATTAAAAGCAATGTTCCCCTTGATAGTAGAACGAGCTGAGCATTTGCGAGGACGAGCCTTAAAAGCTGCAGTCAATGGTCGTGCAATTGATGCTCGTGATTTGATGGCTCGATATACTACTGACTTTATTGGTGCCTGTGGTTTTGGTTTAGATTCAGATTCACTGAATGACGAAAATTCTGCATTCAGAAAGTTAGGTGTTAATATATTTACATTCAGTATTCGAGATGGTATTGTTGTGCTATTGAAAGATATTTTCCCGACTCTTGCTCGTAATTTAAGAATAATGGGAAAGGTTGAAGGAGAATTAACCACAGTTGTAAAGGAAATTCTAAGAAAAAGAAATTATAAGCCTTCAGAAAGACATGATTTTATTGATTTATTGTTAGAATGCAAAAATAAAGGTACAATTATAGGTGAATCAATTGAATATTTTAATAAAGATGGGACTCCAAAACAGGCGCAATTAGAATTTGATGATGTAATCATAGCCGCCCAAGTATTTGTTTTCTTCGCAGCGGGCTTTGAAACATCTTCTTCTGCAACGAGTTTTACATTACACCAACTTGCTTACAATCCAGAGGTACAAAAAAAAGTACACAAAGAGATTGACACTGTACTTGCTAAATACGATAACAAACTTAGTTACGATGCTATTAAAGAAATGACATATTTAGAATGGACCTTTAAAGAAGCAATGAGAATATTTCCTTCATTGGGATATTTATCAAGGACATGTAGAAAAAAATATACTTTCCCAGGTATAAATTTAACTATTGATGAAGGAGTCAACATCGCAATTCCAGTTCAAGCTTTTCATAATGATCCTCAATATTGGGACAATCCAAAAGAATTTAGACCTGAACGCTTTCATCCTGATGTATTTACAGAAGTACAGAAAAGTGTTTATCTTCCTTTTGGCGACGGGCCTCGCAATTGTATAGGTATGACTAATATTTTTTTAGTAAATGAACTTTAATATATTAAATAAATAATTAAATAATATATTTTTTTAAGTATTGTATTTAATATTGTTGCCCCTAAACAAGTGATTTCAAAAAGAGTTTTTTGTGCTGATGAATAAAAGTGGTAACTTTGCATATAGGTATAATTAGATAGATAGATAGATAGATACTCTTTATTGTTTCCTCCAAAAGATTACAATAGTAAACTTATTATAAATATAAATAATTACAAGAAATAATCACAATGAGAAAACAATGGGCGACCTTATCGCTAAGAGCGATCTCTTCCAGGCAACCTTTGGATGGAGAGGAGTAATTATAAACAGTTTGGTGGGAGGCACGATGAAAAATTTTGTTAGTTCTAAATATGTTTAATAATTGTTTATGTCTACCATTATATATTGTATTTACCACTTCTGTTGCGTTATGGACATCACAGAATTCAAAGGACATTCAATATTCTTTATTATTACCTCTAATCTTTACCAAAAAAGAAATTTTAACGATCTAATGATTGATAAATCTCATTGTTGTGGTATTAGTAAAGAAGTTATATAAGATGAAAATGATTAACTTCATTATTCCAAATTCGATTAATACAAAGAATAAGGCAATTGAGTTAGTTGAAAATCATCCGACACGCATTATTATCCGTACTTTAAATATCTCTTGTAAGCTATGTTAAACACACAGTGGCATTTGATACTCGAAAATTTATACAAATTGTTGAATTTTGAAGACACCTAAAGTCTTACCAAGTATACATTAGTATGGACATTTCTGTTATTGTCTTATCTTAGTCAATATTGTCATCGCCATAACAACACATTATCGTTCCACTGCTGAGTTTGATCTCTTCTTGCAAGAAAATAATATTAGACTACTGTTACTGCACTTTACTTATTTATATGTCTTTTCTTATTTTCAGGTGCTCGTCTCGGACTGATGCAATCTTTAGCTGGTTTGGCTGCAATATTATCTCGGTTTTCAGTTGCGCCCGCGCCAGAAACTAAACGTTACCCTATCGTGGACCCTTCATCGCATGTAGTACAGAGTATTAAAGGAGGTCTACCACTATTGTTTAATGAAAGAAAAGATGTGAAAGTATATTAATAAACTATTATTATATAATATATATTGTAATCAATTAATATTAATACTAGTGGGCAATCCTTGTCGTTTTAATTCTTTTATGTCTTACACTGGTTTCGACATGAATACAGAAGATTCTTTGCTTGTGATATTTTTTTTACATAAAAATTCTTTTATTAAACTTTTATACATTTTTTATTTTTGTTTTATCCTTTCTATTTTTTATTTTATTTTCAACAACAATTCTATTTAGGTACCTCGTTAAGAAACTGGCATCACGATACCTTCCTTAGTCAATACAGATGACAATCACGCAAAATCAGTAAAAAAAAAGTACACTAAGTGAATCGCTAGAGGCCATAAGTCAAATAAAGTAATATCTTAAACAAAAAACAAAAAAATACCTGATGGTAAATTTGATAGGCAAGGCAAAGGTTCCCACACAGATTTTTTTTGTACAACTTAGAATGGCAAACAAGCTGACAGCCCACCTGATGGAAAATGGTAACCGTCGCCTATAGACATGAGCAGTACCATGGACATAACAGAGTATACTGTTTCACCCATGATACCCCCCATGCGTTGCCATTCCTGAGGACTCAGGTGTTATTCCTCTGTACCCAGTAAATTCGCGCCATATCCCACCCTTTAAACCGTAACACAGCCATGCAAATACAACTGCTTCACGGTTGAAATACGAAAGGGACAGAGGTACCCAAGCAATCGACTTTTGTACAGAGTCTTCCTCTGTATTTTAATTTAAATCGGTAAAAAATAAAATACTAATATACTTAGCACTATAATCACTAATGAGGTAGTATATATATGTCTAAGGTTGCCAGTGTGGTAAACATTGGCCATACGCAAACTTTTTATACTACTATGGTAGTAAACAAGCATACGATTCGTCTGATAATAAACGGGGTTACCATAGCCTATGGACAACCTTTAACACCAGGGATGTTACGCGTGCGTTGCTTACCCTTAAGAAACTTTAATAGGTCCCATGTTTTAGTCTCTAGGCAAGAAGATCATTCCATAATCTGATTATTTGCGGAAGAAAGCTCGTCTGATGGCGCACTGTGCGTAAACATTCTGATTTTAGTGTGTAAAGATAGATTACCTGTCTATGGCTAACGGTTCGATAGTGAAAATTGTAGGTATTATGTTAAAAAGCCCTTCAGAACACAATTGGTTATACAATAGATAGACGATACAAATATAAATCAGGACCTAAATTTAAGGGGCTCGATACCACCTGTTAGCCTAGCATGCCTCTGAACTAAATTAAGAGGGCTAAGTTGGTATCCAGAAGCTCCCATCCATAAGTGAGATCAGTATTTCATATGGAGTCAAACTTGTGACTTATATAATAGCAGTCTTTGATCCGAGGTGTAAGACTGCTTCACTTTGTTTAATATTCCGAACTTCTTAGATGCAAGCTTAATCTTGTCCTCAAAATGATCTCAGAACTCAACTATACTGAAATTGTTGACATAAAAAAACCATATGTTTTAAGATAAAATTTCGAAATCACAGCAAATGGGGTTAACTTATCGGGGAACACGCAATCTTGTCTCTTGAAAAAAATTGAATTAAAATAAATTTAATATACCCCTATCGGGACTTTGAGAAAAGTATTCTCGATTTTAGATACAAACAGTTCGCGGTTAGCTTCCACAACTGGACGAGAGATATTGGCACAGCCCTCATAGTACGCGAGCCCAGTACTGTCATCCGCATAATAATGAATGTCGACTGTAGTCAACAAATCATCAAGTACTCGTATATCATAAGTATATATAGACAGATAAACATATCCGTTATGATTATTATTAAAGATACTTTCAAATGCATATTATCAAGTATTAACTTTATTACTTACTTACTAAACTATTGACCAGAAACTATCGTTTGCATCTATAAAAATATTCGTTATCTTTAAAAAGGTTATCGTTTTCTTCTTCTATGTTCAATTTGAAGGGTGGAATAACAACCTGGCCTTCAAGAATGACAACGCATGATCCTTTTCGTAAGTATACCAGTATTGTAGACGGAATTGCTATTTCATTATCACTTAAAATGAATGAATTCTCATCTATCACCATCGATATAATAACACATGTGGTAACTTTTATGTTTATTCTGTGATGATCAATGTACTGTTAATATACGCGACGGTTACCATTTTTCGTCATAATATATGCCTTGTTTATTATTTATATAGAAGTTTAGGTAGTAATATAACATAAAAGCTGGTATATTTTTTATACCATAATAATAATAAGTACCAGAATATCGGTCTAATCGGCTAATTCTCATAACACAAGTTTTACTAAGACTTTGCGTTATAAGGAACCAGGCAACAAGCATCTGAGGCACAACTCTGAACAATTAGATCCGCGTCATTAAAAAAAAAATATTTCAAACATCATTTCGACCATGAATCGAACTCGGAACCTTATTTACGCAAAGCAACGTGCCCACCGCTGCGCAATGGAAATCTTCAATTTACGAAGCTGTCGTTATCACAATTAATTAAACAAGCTTGACCCCTCAGTTTACAATGTTGCGCAGATTGTAGATATCTATTTTCTAGATGGCGTAAATATTAAGTAATCACATTATGTTTATTTGCGAATAAAATTAATTCTAAACATCAAGCAGATAAAACTGTGAGCACTTATAATACTAAATACAACAAAATTTAAAATAATATTAACTAAAAATATAAATATTAACACATAAAAACTTTTCAGTTAAGTAAAAAGTTGTCTATACTATTATTACATAAAAGAGCAGAAAATGCATTTTTTTAAGACTTTTTTTAAGATATATGATACAGAGTTTACGGTATAGAAAAGAATATTTTACCTGAGCATTCTGTAAAACTTAATTTTTTTACTCACATACTCGTAAGTTTGTATTAAGCAATAATTTAAAAATGTGTCTCATAAAAACAAAAAGCGGATTTCAATTGTGATAAAACCAGTTATTTTGATCTAAAAATTAAACTACTGAATTAATTTTTATAAAATTTCTATGGGACTTCTCTGTAAGTATATCCTTTCAGATCATAAAAAAGAGATTTAGAACTGACGACGTTATGAGGTAACAAACATAAAAAAATACAACTGATTTTAGAACCTCTTTCTTTTCGAAGTCAGTCGAAAAGTTACATTATTTTGCCCGAAACATACTCAAAAATATATAACCACATAATGACAGTATTTTAGAGGAGCAGTACATTAGGTAAGAGGTGACAAAACAGAAAAGTAACAGAAAATTAGAAATCTTAAAAGACAAGAAAAAAACCAAGTTAACCAATTTTATAAGGGAAACGCTCTTTGGATATTTTTTCCAGTGTTACTATTGAAGTAACCTTTTTATAATTTATATGATTTTATAATTTATTATGAAAAGGTTACTTTATAAAACATCCTGTGTTTCTGGATCTTCATACACTCGTAAATATTTAATTTTCGACCATGCAATTCAAACAACTTTTACTCTAGCACACATTATCACGATTTGTGACTGTGACAACAATCCGATCGTGGAAATCACTTCCTCGCGAGCTACGTGATAACACAAGTGTTAGCAAATTTAAAAGCCGAGTAAATGATTATTCTATCGCAATACTAACGCATTATTTATCTATAATATATAATGCGGAAGAGATTGTTTGTTTGATTGAACGTGCTAATCTCCAATCGGATTTGAAAATTTTTTTTTTCTATTTGATAATTTATATCTTCAGGAAGGTTCATCACGAATCCACGGAATACATATACAAGTATACTATTTGTATCATATTTTATTTATTTGCGTGTATATACATATAAAATCGTTTAATTTTAATATATGCCCGTTCTAGTGAGCCTACTATATTATGAATAATTTTATTTTTATTATTGAAGATTCTTGGAAAAGAAACATCTCCTTTAAAAATTAGCATGCCCTTGTGCACTTATGATAACATATTGTTTTATTTTTCTACATGCAATGAAAAATAATAAGCTTATTTACACAAAGCCATTTCTATTTTGTTATCGAATGTATCTGTGTCTATATAAGAACTGACTCATATGTCTTTTTGTTTAAATGTCAAAAATAAAACATATACAATAATTTTGTCCAACGTCTACAGCAATTCGCGGAATTATTATCAGATATTTTTTCTACAGTAACAAAACTAAATGTGTAACCGGATACGGAATTATTAATTAAAGACATAAATTAAAACTAACATTTTACTTTCTTGAATTATTTAAAGATATCTTTATTAGAAAGGAATTACACGAGATTAACACGTTATTAAATATCATAATTTGACTAGAATCTTCTCATAATGATTATCAATATTGGGATAAACCATAAGAATTCTGACTTGAACGATTTTATACTGACGAAATTAATGAAACTCAGAAAAACAATACCTAATCAAGTAAATAAGGTTAAATTTCTATTTTTGAAAGTATTTAAATCAATTTTCAAATACTAGATTTTAATTATTATATTATAATAAATTATTATATTAAATTATATATGAATATACAGTCACACCGCCAACTAGCTTATAGCAAACTCCACCTAGGTGGAGGCCATAGATTATATCTAGTCCAGTCATAATTTCTGTTACAAATGAAAATGAATTTTTTTCATGAATTAATGTAATATTACTAAAATTTATACCTACATATTTATTTTGGTCTCAGCAAAAAATTTAAATAAATCTATTCTAAATGTCCACGTTTAGTTTTTATACAGGCCTTTAATCTGTCTGGCCACGAATTTATGAATTTACGCATTGTTTCCAAGGGAAATTTAGCCACTGCTTGCTCCAAAGGTCTGTTAAGAGACTCAATGTCACCGTGTCGTTTAGAGCAGGCCATGTTCTCTAAAACGGACCATAATTTAAAGTCTAAAGGATTGAAATCTGGGCTAGATGAGGGCCAGTCTTCAGCTCCTATAATGTCCGGAACGTTGGTTTCAATCCAGACTTGGGTAGTTAGTTCCTTGTGACAAAGTGCAGGGTCCTGCTGGAAAGACCACGGTATATTTTTAAAAAGTGTATTGCTGAGAGGTTTCACAACACGATCCAAGACTGTATTTTGATACGCTTTGGCTGAAGTTTTCACTCCTCTTTCACAAAAATGTAGTTTTGTTACTCCTTGATAAGACACGCCCCACCAAACTATCATTGACGCAGGATGATGACCACGTTGTACCTTTCCGACTACTTCAGTAGCTTCTTTAGAACTGTGAGTGTACACTTTACCATTTTGCTTATTGCAGTGTTCTTCAATCGTAAAAAATTTTCATCGGTAAAGAGGATATTTCTATGCCTTTCAGCTGTGTATGGCGGCAGAAGGCGTTTTGATCGATCCACTCTGTTTAATTGTAAAGATTGATTTAGGGCATATCCTGTATATCGATGATAAGTATCGAATTTCAGATCTTGTTTTATAATACGCGACAGAGTTCTAACGGGATCTTCATTTCTCGCGATAAGATTTATTGCTTCTAAAGGGGTTTTGACGAATTCTGGCTTTAAAGGCTGTTAATGATTTAAAAAGTATTAACAGCTTTTGTAGTTCTAACAGCACGTGGCCGTCTTGATTTTTTCTGATCTTCGGCAGAGAAAATGTTGTTGTATCTGTTGATAGTACGATATAAAATCATACGGCTGATACCAAGCTTTTGAAGTGTCTGGAATATGACCGACGACTCCCACTTTGTGCAAAGCAATCACTGCAATCCAATTTTCTTTAACACCCCATTCCATATTGTAATTTGATAATGAACACAAAAAATATGTGAGATGCCGCGAATTTGAAAGGAGTTTTTAAAATAATAAAGGTTCTAAATTCAAAATAATTAATAAGTCAAAACTAAGAAAAGTTTTTTTTATTAATAGCTATCTTAAGCCTACCTGATACATTACACTATCAACAGCTCTATTTGGACAAAATATCATCATATCAATATGATTAGTTATTATATTACTAACGACGACGGCCTCACACGATTTCAGATTACTTATGAGTTTATCTGTTTATAAAGATAAAAAGGGTGTATTGTATACAAATATTTACAAAATATAAGTAACAACTAAAAATTAAATGTATAAAATTTCATCGTTTGAATAGATAATGTTAAAAAGATATTATATCTAAGAATCAATGTATCGCTAATTACTAATAAATACGAATTTAAGTCTTTATCCTACAGTGTTTTGATTTTTGGAACTTGCATCAGTAACTATACTTGCCCTACCTTTAACGCTACCTCGCATGTGCATATCTGGACAACTACCATTCTTGTTAAATGTGATAAAGTTGTAAAAATATGTTATAAAACCGATTAATTTTATACTTTCGTGTGTTTTATATAATTTTGGGATATAATAATTTTATATAAAAATATTTATTTAGTTCAGTACCAAATTAATATAGTATGAGGAACATGTTTTAAGAAGATCATTAAATATGAATGTAAAAGACTAAGGGTAAAAAAGACCTAAAAAGACATGAATAAACTCTGGCATAACTAATATGGTTACAAAGTTGTGAAAACCACATCCATTTTAATGTAGTTATTTTTTAATAAGTGCAGAGAAAACAGACAAAAATTAAAAAAATTACAAACGTCGCCTATTTATAATTTAGTTATAATTTTATTATTATATATTATAGACAATGCGGTCATAAATTACTATATATATTGTATTATTACTACCTAGATCTGTCATAATAAATTAATAATAATTAGACAATAAATACAATGTAACCGTATCTTTTCTGTCTACCTATTAACGAGTATAGTAGAGTAATAGTTTGAATTTTTTAATTTATGAAGAATATATTTAGAAACAGATGATGAATAGATGGCGCTGTATAATATGTATATATAGAATAACAGAATTTGAGTCAATTGTATTCGATGATTCTCTGAAATAATTTTATGGTGATCGCTCATTAGAAACTATACAGGGTTGCTAGTTTAGCAAAACTATTATGACATGGATTATTGAGAATTGAATGTTAAAGTAATTCTAATGCAATTCTACTAAAAATTTAGTTTTGTGATGATACTTATAATAATAATTCCGCTGTAATTATAATTTTAGAGACAGAAATAGTAAATTAAAATAAAATAAACAATCGTCTGCATTATTGTATTTATAAACAATTTGTATAAGTAGCAGTCTTATTAGTGAAAGCGATCTTTCTAAGGTGACTATTGAGAAGCAGAGTTGATAATATTAATGGTAAGAAACAATTTATTAGTTCTATGCGTCATCACATACAACACATATAATAAATACATTGCTAATTTTATTTTTTATTTTCGAACTTTGAAGTATTTTGGATGTGAAGAATGAAGATGTGTCATAGTTTCCCGAACTTATGATAATAAATACACGAGGCGCATGATACTTAATTATTAATATATAAAAATGTTAGTCTATCTATATATTTGAAATTAATAAATATATAAACATCGTTTGGCACATATATTATAAAATTGTAATATATATTATATTTTACGCATTTCTTCATGGAGAATATTTCCTCGTTGTTATCTATATTTTTGTAACTCGCCACTAGATGGCGCTGTAGTACCTCAACTTTTTTTTCTACGCTATAAAAAAAATAATTTATAACAAATAAAATATTTACTAATAAAAAGCTAAATAAGTATACAGATAAGAGAAACTGTCTGTACTAGACCAAAGTCAATACCGGAGTTAGTCGTAAAAATATTAGACATAATAATAAACGTATATTTGTGATTTTGTGGTTGTCATAAAAGGCGACTAAAGGAATTTAATGCTTAAGGGATGGGACTAACTAATATAAACTCCCCCAAAGGGGAGGGGGAAGAAATTGTTAGTAATGAGATAAGTGGACTCACTAGCAATATACACTATCAGGTCAATCTCCACATGGTACCATCTGGAAACAATCGTACTGAATTATAGGTGTCGCAGCACGATGGGCTAACAGACCTGCGTTTTCATTGTTATCTATCATCATTTACTGATAGTCCATTAGGGGTTACCATTCCATTATTAAAAATAAAACCCAAGGGGGAGGCCTATTTTCAGCAGTGAACAGTTAACGCCTGATATGGTGATGATATTTGTAATTAGACATTTGGCTATTCACTAATTGTATATTCATATAAATATTGTTAAAAAAACATAAACCATATACTAACAATTGAAAAATGTCGTAATGAGCGAAATTTCATAATGCATCTAGATGATGCACATAATTGTTTCAGAAGTATGATTTTATATGTTAATTATATATTTAGGTATGTTTTTTTATATATATTATTAGTATTTATTAACAATTTTTTCGCGTGCACAGATTTATTATATACATATATATTGCTTGAGGCGTTAAAGTGCTAGGAAGTATTAAAAAAACAAACTCCCTTTTATATTTACAGTAACTCTAAGGATAATGACTTTGTTTACTTATTTACTCGTGTAATTTTAAAACAAAGTAACCCATGAAGATTTTTTATAGATAGATTTTACCCGCATTCGATTTAGATGTTCACTAAGAATGAATTTCCTAAAATCCGCATAAGTATGGGAAATAATGAATTTATTCAGACGAAACCGTAGGAAACAGCTTGTTAACAAATATAATTAAACATTATAACTATTAGCTGATACAAAATTGGTACTAAATTTAAATTATGTAATCTTATCTCTCGCTGAAATACGATAAGAAACATTGTAACTACTATTTATTAGAAACATACCAAAAGGCAACACAGTAGTAACGTTTACTTTGTTTCAATTATATATCTCGCAATAAGTTCATAACAATATGATTTATATAGCTTTAGTAGTAGTATTGCTTGTTGCATTATATCTATACAATGTAAGAAATTTTGATTATTGGGAAAAAAGGGGCGTGGTTTATGAAAAACCTATAATATTTTTCGGGTCTGTTATAAGGAACTATTTATTACTGGAAAGTATGACCACGACCATAAACAAATTTTATAAAAAATATCCCAACGAAAAACTCATTGGAGCATTTCGATCAACAACTCCAATTCTGGTTCTCAAAGATCCGGCTATGGTAAAGCAAGTTATCATCTCTGACTTCGTTTACTTCCACGAACGTGGAATTGTACCAGGTAAATCATTGGAACCTTTGTTCAAGAATTTGTTTTTCGGAGAAGGTGATCTGTGGCGGTTGCTAAGACAACGACTTACACCAGCATTTACTAGTGGTAAATTACGAGCAATGTTCCCCTTGATAGTAGAACGAGCTGAAAATTTGAGAGCACGAGCTCTTAAAGCCGCAGTCAATGGACGTACAATGGATGCCCGTGATTTGATGGCTCGCTATACTACTGACTTTATTGGCGCCTGTGGTTTTGGTCTCGACGCAGACTCCCTGAATGATGAAGATGCTGCATTCAGACAGCTAGGAATTAAAATATTTACATTCGATTTTCATGATGCTATTGTTGTGTTATTGAAAGATATGTTTCCAATTATGGCAAGAAATTTAAAAATAATGGGAAAAGTCGAAAAAGAGCTAATTCTTCTTGTAAGAGAAATTCTAAGAAAAAGAAATAATAAACCTTCTGGAAGACATGATTTTATTGACTTATTGTTAGAATGCCAAAATCAAGGTACTGTGGTAGGTCAATCTATTGAAAAATTCAATGAAGATGGATCTCCGAAACAGGCTAGATTAGAATTCGACGAATTAATTATAGCCGCCCAAGTATTTGTATTTTTCGCAGCGGGCTTTGAAACATCTTCTTCTGCGACGAGTTTCACATTACACCAACTTGCTTACCATCCAGAAGTACAAGAAAAGGTACATAAAGAGATTGATACCGTTCTTGCTAAATACGACAACAAGCTTAGTTATGATGCTATTAAAGAAATGACATATTTAGAGTGGACTTTTAAAGAAGCAATGAGAATTTTTCCTTCACTAGGATTTTTGGCTAGAACATGCAGACGAAAATACACCTTCCCAGGTACTGATTTATCTATAGATGAAGGTGTAAATATCTTTATCCCAATAGAAGCTTTTCATAATGATCCTCAATATTGGAGTAAACCTCAAGAATTCCGGCCCGAACGATTTCATCCCGATGAATTCAACGAAATTCAAAGAAGTATTTATCTTCCATTTGGTGACGGACCTCGCAATTGTATAGGTAAGATCCATATTTTAATTGTCTTCAAAAAAAAATCTGAACTTTTTTTTAACTTTTACTACTTTTGTTCAAATACTTTCGTTTAATAGTTTATTCAAATAATTGGCATCCCGCCAAGTGCTTAATAAAATTTCGCATAGTTATGATCACTTAGGTGACATTAAGTATTTTTAAGGTATTTATTTGGTGACGACTACCATAAATAGATAATATTAATAGAAATTACACAATAAAACAATGGAACGCCTTCGATTTAAGATTTTTCGGTTATATTGATAAATTGATATTTTATGTTACAATTTGTAATGTAAATCCAGAACGATTATAAAGAGTTATCCATAGACAGATAACACAGTGACCAAATAATTTAAAATAATTTAAATGGACTAAAAAATCCGGAGTTTTCATTTTGACCGCAGTCTTTTTTTCCTTTTTATATCAGTTATGAAATATATTTATCAACAATTACTCTGAATAATTGTGGTGTTTTTTAAACTTCCGTTTTACGCCCCGTTAATTTTGTCAAAATTATATCATAAATTTTATATAAAAAAATAGTAGTGTTAATTTTATTTAAATTATGATTTTCACGTGCACAGTTTTACATTTTTACGTATAAAAGCAATCAATTTCTAAATTTTAATAGTTATGAAAAAAACGTGTTCACGCTAATACAAAATTAAAATGACTAAAAAACACTCATTCTGAAGTTTCGAAAAATAATATAATAGGTATAATAGATATTAACAGCACCATGCACATTATTGTATATACTGTGACACCTAATGGTACCACACAATCGTTACCATTTCCGAGAATAATTTTTATTTTCTCTTTCCTTTTCTTTCTGTTCCCTGCCGGCTTAACTACCCGTATCAATTTACTCCATGCAATAACTTTAATGACACCTATTGCTATTTCAGCCATATTTTCGTTTAAATTTAACATAAATTTTACGATCACAGTTATTGTCATAATGATGTTCAAATGATTCAATTTCATTCTAAAGAGATATCAGAATGTACTTTTCAGAACACATGTTTTAATATATAATTTTAATCTTTTCATGAATTTTTATTTCATTTGCAGGTGGTCGCCTTGGTTTGATGCAATCTTTAGCTGGTTTGGCTGCGATTCTATCTCAGTTTAGAGTGGAACCTGCGCCGGAGACTAAGCGCTATCCAACCGTAGACCCTACTTCTCACGTGGTACAGAGTATATCAGGAGGATTACCGTTATTATTCAATCAGAGAGTTGGTGTAAGAGCATGTTGATAAACCGATTGACTATATCCACGCAGCGTGGTTTTAGGTTCTAATGTATAAAGAAATATACGATATACGAGAAGTTTTATCTACGATTAATTAAGACTTGTATTTAATAATAATAAAAGTGATAAATAAAATATTTTTATCTGTTTTATTAATTTTTTTTTCATTACAGTATACTCTCTTTCTCTCTCTTAATAATCAAATTCTAATTAAATGATGTCTGTGTGCATGGGAAATATTAAAAATGGGTTATATAGTTATAATCATTATAATCCACCCATTGTTTACTACTGAACATAGATCTCATTAACAGGAATATGAAAAATACAGTCATTTGAATATCATCAATGATTGACTATTAAAATAATTGATTAGGAAGAAACACTGTTTGAGGTAATGATTAAAAAACACTAAAAGGTACCTAACGTAAAGATATAAAAAGAATTTCTATATCAGATAGTGTATACCAAATTTCATAAAGATTAGTGAAGTCATTATAAACAAACTTATTTTCACATTTATAATATTAGGATAAAATATTCTTTTATACTTTTAAAGAAGTATTTATTCACTTAAACATTTTTTCTAAAGAAACATGATTTAAAAACAACTAATAATTATTTATGTCCAATTCAATTGTTAACAAAGTACGTAAACTTTAAGAATGGACGCGGTATATTTTGTTAATATTAACATACGCATACGTGAGGGCGAAGTTTTAATAAAAATTCTTTAAAGGCAGGCATTCCTTACAAGATTTTGACTATAACTATTTTTAGGTTATTTCATTATATTATAATATATACAGATGAGTATATATATTCTACATCAGTATAAGTAGTTATAAATCACATAATAGTTTCTTCGTTATTTTTATTACTTATTTTACAAAAAAAAAAATTTATAAACAAAACAAAGTCAAATAGATAAGGTAACCTTGGGGTCAAAAAAAAATTGATAAAGACTATTCCAAATGTCCAAAATCTCGGATGTATTCGAACATAGTTCATTCTGTTTTTTTTTTGCAACTTGAACTAGCAAATATGCTGGCAATAGATGGCCCATCTATTGAAATATTATGCCTAAAGAAAAGAAGAGCAACTTTGTCTTCACATAGATAATATACTGTGACGCCCACGATACCTCGTATGTCTTACAATTCTTGAGAAGTTATTACATCTTTTTTACCTGTAATTTCACTGTATCGCCCTTCAAAGGGAATCGTAGATATATTTATAAGCCCAACTTTATGGTCATGTCTCCATCTAATTACACTGATTAGTACTAAAATAAGAGCAAGACAATGGTACATGTGGACTTAATACATGCGTGTAGATGGATACGTTGAATCTAAATATTTAATCATATTTTTTTATTTGTTTAATTCTTTATTGTACACACCAGTTATTTATAAAAATATATCAGGGGTAATCAAATATACAAAGGCGAGCTGAACTCTTATATATACAGTAATACTTGTATAGTTATGGACCATGTGCAAATATAAATGTTGGTAATTTATTTGCATCGAACAAAATTAATATAATACAAAAACAACTACCCGGTCACGTAGGTAAAAGGAGAAAGAATGTTTTCCTATATTCTATTAAAGTTAAAAATACCCATTGAGTTGTGAAAGAATCACGTCAAATGTCTTAAACGGTTCTTTCCGAACGGATGGGCGGTTTGATTGCGCGGACTCGTTGAATGCTACGCCCGGGGCCTTCACGGGCTATCTATTGTTGGAATTCCTTTTGAGAGTTCGGAAGAAACTTTATCCGTTGTCTATCGTCTAAAATTTTTCCGCACGTGACATATTCACTTTAAATGAAACGGGTTTGACATTTGTATTGTATGTCAATATATCTTAGTTACAATATCTACATGCTGGCCCAATAACGATTATGTTAAAAGACTGTTTGTTATTCAAAAAATATAACATATTCTAAAATAGATGTCGAAATGGGTAATGACCTTTTTCCGCCATTATTGTCCAGAGGAAATATATAGATATCGGATCAATATTCATATAACCCTTGCCTATTTATCACAGCCGCCAAATAACCAATACGTTTTTAGTAGTTAACTTACTACCTACCTAACTTGTTTGGGGAAGATGGGATTGTTAGTAATGGGGATTAACAACACCATCGCTTGCGATATACCCTCTCAGGTCGACCGCAATGCGGTTCCCCTTGGAAACGTATCTTGGTTATTTATTATTGAATTCTATTCGGGATTGCCTGATTAGAAAATGATCATTATATTAATTTTATATTTCTTTTCTTTTATATTAATACCCACCCACTATGAACTTTTTATTATAACAGATTGTGAATTGTTAATCTCGGTCGTCCCACTATACAGGTTCGCCTAGTCTGGGGCCCATTGTAACTTGTGTTGGTAACTTTGTATTTTTGTCAAACAATATATTTCTATTTCTTGACAATAAGCTAGTTTGACCTAACTTTATCCTTACTGATCATTGCTGATACCAGCGTATACCAATAGGCTGGCAAAGTTGCCTGATACCACTTTTGTACGGAACCCTAATTTGTAAGAGTCATTATTATGAGCATGTATAGGCCGTTAATTATTATAAAAAATTGGAAGTTACTGTTATCATGAGTTTATAACGTCATATTGTCACCTCTTGACCTCAATTAATTTAAAGATATTAATTATTTCGTGTATATGATTCTGTTATCTCTTTTCTACACTTAGTAATACAAATTACATTATGGATAAAAATAAAGATATATATGCCTTTCCTACTTTTTGCAGCGAACCATATTAATGTATTTATTCACTTACATACAAACTCTATAGATACTTTCTCCTTTCGGGTTCTCTATGGGGTGACTGGAAGAAATTCCTTTAAAGAATAAGTCTGCCTGCGTAGATTTTTGTTATAACGTAATATTTATATTATTGGTGAATGTACAAAAATATATAAATAAATAAATTTAACTATACACTTAACATTTTTCAAAATTAATTATTATGATTATTTCATGTTTCTTTATAACATTAATTCTGGAAGTTTAAGAATTATAGACGAAATTCGTATTTATAATTTACTATATAATATAGGTATGTACCACGTAATATATTATTTGTTTGTATTGTATTCAAATATATAATGAAAATGTGATGTAAAAATAAATACAAGTTTACAAAACGCTAGTTCAATGAAAAAATAAAATGGAAAACGGTTTAATTACATAAATTTAAATAAATAAGCAATAAGGAAGGTAGCACTTTTTGTACGTATTTTGGAAATAAAATGTTCGGGACTCTTAGAAATTACGGGGGCTGAATTTACGAGCTCTTCCATTAATTTATTACTCAAACAAATGAACTGAATTCAGAAAAGTCGCTTGTTTGTTTTCATAGCGATTGTTTCTTTGAGTGATTTTATAATATAAAAACTGTACTTTTTCAGATAATTTTATTTAATTATTCTTGTTTTTGGTACTTTTTTGTTTAATGTTTTATTTATAATTGATAACATCATTATCATCACTATCAATTAGGTGGACTGTTAACTGTTGATTGTCATTTTAAGCTGCATAAAAGTATCATATTATCGATTAATATAATCGATATCCAACGATTATTTGGCAACACTACAGCCAATATAGTTCATCTTCTACTTCGTATAAGACGCTCACGTTTTCGCCTCCCGTGAGAATTCTGGTCTAGTGCCTGTATAGAAATATAATCCGCAATCCGCATGTCTTTGATCAATTTATTGGCATATACAAAACGTATGTTGGAGTTTACTGGCAGCATTCTGACAGATTTCTGAGGACTTTCATTAGAAAGTAAGAATTCGTCACGTTAAAAGTAGGTAGCTATAAAAAATAAAACTAAAAAAAGGAGATATAATTAATACTATATTCATTCATATCATTCATATCAGCCGTTAACTGTCCATTGTTGTATATAAGTCTCCCCCATAAAGGAAGGTATTGTCAGTAGTTGTCACGTTTGGCAAACGGGTTGGCTACCGAAGTTAGAATTTGGTGATGTTAATGAGATGAGAGACACTGTTGCTTATCTTTCGATCATTAAGTTCCCTTAATCGCCTCTTACGACAGCCACGGGAAAGAAGGAGTGGCACATTCTATGCCAAGACCACACGATAAATGTCTTACTTTCTTAATTTTATTTTATACAACTTAGAATGGCAAACAAGGTGATGGCCCACCTGATGGAAAGTGGTAACTGTCGCCTATAGACATGAATAGTACCAGAGTATACTGTTTCGCCCATGATACTCCCATGCGTTGCCATTCCTGAGGACTTATTCCTCTGAGGTGTTATTCCTCTGTACCCTGTAAATTCACACTATACTGTCATACTATAGTAATTGCTTCACGGTAGAAATACGAATGGGACAGAGGTACCCAAGCAATTGACTTTTGTACAAAGTCTCCCGTCTGGTAATAATTATTATATGTTATTATATATATAATATATAATATTATGTATAAAAAATAAAAATAAATATATAAAAGTAACATCCAGTACTAAACAGTAGAAATATTTAATGTATAGAATGAATTCCGAATTAAAAATCTGTTTCCGATAAGATAGATATTTTAAAAGACTGTTTAAACACTTTGTATAAGAAAATTCATAAACGCCTGTTGGAATTTTATATGCAACAAAAGTGGCTTTCTAATGACAATTTGAACTTTATAATAAGCGAAGAACTTCTATTTTATTTATGATTAACAAAAATTTAGAATCAAAATTTTCAAAACCGACGTCAATTGTGACGTCGATTTTTTTTTTGGAACACAATCTTAATTATTAGAAATAAGAAAGTACATTTCAATGTGTAAACTCGACCTTTTTAAGATTTTATTAGGGCTGTGGGTAGATAATAACCATAATAATATACGATAATATCGCGTTTGTTAACAACAAAACATTTTAATCACTAATAATTAACAGAAAACAAAACGGGCCCGACAATAGGAATGACAAACAGGCCTTAAAAAGTTAACCCTTCTCATGTGCGCCCCTGTCATGCACATAATACTCGTACTTGTGGTGTGAAACGCTAAAACGAGTTAATTATGAAAAGCTAAATAAACACTGGAGGCAAGTCCAATATAATTGAAACAGTCACGTGACGTATTAA